AATCAATCACAATGGTGATTGCCCCAAACCAACACACCGCCGTCATGAAGCTAGCATTTATCCGTCTTTCCAAATGGTTGTTTGGCTAAAATAATCTTTACCACATTCAAAGAGCAATTGCGGTCTTATAATACAGCCGAGGACATACTGTCCACCTGACCTTTAATGAGATAGGAGACATTTAGTCCACCTAAATAATGGTCCCAGGGCAACTTTAAGGCTGCCTGTGGTACCTGCAATCCATTGCACTTATCCAGTTGCCCCATTGGGGTAACTTGTGCAATTTCGTCGAATAATCCAACTCTAAACTTAGGTTATCCACCGGCTGCTTTCGCAAAGCACCCGGTTTAGATCCCCTCGCTCTCAGACTATTTTGGTCAGACAACTATGAGTTGACCAATTAGGTCGTTTTATCTTTGCCATCTGCATATGCTTGTAGAGCATTCGATAGAAATGCCCTCTGCGACGATAACACCCGGAGGGGCGTCGCCGGACGCCATACTCATAACGGAGCAGACGAATTTATAAATTTTAATCTGGTTATTGGCCTTATTTTTTGCCCGTCTGTGTATCACACAGATGGTTAATCGATGGATTACACAGGTGGTGAAATAAAAGTTACTAAGTTATATAACTTAGTCTGCCCGTCTGTGTATTACACAAATGGTGAAATAAAAGTTACTAAGTTATTTAACTTAGTTTGTCCGTCTGTGTATTACATAGATGGTAAAATAAAAGTTACTAAGTTATTTTAAAACTTAGTTTGCCCGTCTGTGTATTACACAAACGGTGAAATAAAAGTTACTAAGTTATTTAAACTTAGTTTTCCCATATGTGTACTACACAAACGGTGATATACAAGTTACCGCATGTATCCATAGACAACAATATTAAAACAAAAAGAAACTCTTTTTCATTGATAGGCTTTTCATCTACAAAAATTTACAAAATCTCAGAAGTTGTACTTTTTCAGATTGTCTACATTCCAAGTTCTAGGCAGCCGTTTGCCATCCGGAGTTTCCAGACGGTAGGTGTCGTTTCTTACTTCATCAGAAATCCGGTAGGGGCCTTCCCAATTAGGAGTCATCTTTCCCTGTTCATTGGCCCTACCGGTTGCCTTCATTTTTCGTAACACAAAGTCCCCAACTTTCAGAGGACGTTTGTGCACTCTCTTGTTTTAGGCACGGGTCATACGCAAACGGTAAATCTCATGACGCAAGGCGGCATTGCCCTTGCGCTCCGGGAGTGAGTCCAATGCAAGCTGCATGGCCTCCCAGTTTGCCTCCTCATCATAAAGCATGACCCTTAGAGTAGGCTCGTAATGCTCGATGGGCAAGACGGCTTCAGCACCGTATACCATGAGAAATGGGGTTCACCGGTTGCCCCTTTTTCAGTTGTCCAGATGGCCCATAGGACGTGAATTAATTCCTCAGCCCATAAACCACCGGCTCTTTCTATTTTCTTTTTTATACCGTTTGAGATGAGTTTGTTGAAGGCTTCAACTTGGTCGTTTGCTTGGGGTCGGCCGACTGATGCAAAACAATGTGAGACCCCTTGGTCTCCCAACCAAGTCTTAAGCTAAGGAGTCTCAAACCGAGGGCCATTATCAAACACCATAGACATAGGTACCCCAAACCGGGTGATAATAGTCTTCCAGATGAAGGAGATGACATCCTTTGTCTTGATGCCTTTGACCGCCTCAGCTTCCACCCACTTGGTGAAATAGTCCACAACCACCAAAATGTAGCGCTTTCCGCCTGGTGCAGGAGTATAAGGACCTAGAATGTCCATGTCTCATTTAGCAAACGGGATTGGGCTGTGGATAACCGTCAGATCAGTAGCCGGGCGATGGATTAGCTTGCCAAAACCTTTGGCACTTGTCACATTTTTTCACAAACTCCATGGCATCTGACTCAAGAGTGGGCCAGAAATAATGATGTCTGGCTCTGACGGTTAATGACCTGCCGCCTGAGTGAGAGGCGCAGTACCCCGCGTGCAAGTCTTCGAGAATTTCCTTCCCCTTTTCTGGGGTAACACACTTCAATAAAGGTTTCAAAAAACCCGCCTTGAAGAGTTCTCCATTTCTCATCTCAAAGCTTGCAGCACGCTTCTTCAGTACGGCCGCCTCCTGTGGTGAATCAGGAAGCACACCGTCTGTCAAAAATGCCCGGATGGGATCCATCCAGGTAGAGCTTCGGTCAAGAACTCCGATGGGATCTTCATCAGATATACTTCTTTTTTCCATAACTTCCCAGAAGACTGACCTAGGCGTATCACAAGAGGCGGAGGATGCTAATTTTGACAGAGCATCCGCCTGATTGTTCTCCGACCTGGGCACTTGACTCAGATGAAATTCTTCAAGAGTCCCAACCTCGGTTTTGACCGCCTGCAAATATTTGATCATAGCCGGATGGGTGGCTTCATACTCACCATGGTATTGGCTAACAACCAATTGAGAATCCGAGCAGGCGTCAATTCTGGTTGCCCCTGCCGCCTTACACATATGTATACCGGCTAGCAGGGCTTCGTATTCCGCCTCATTATTTGAGGCCTGGAACTTAAACCGTAGTGAATATTCATATTTACCTCCTTCTGGAGATTGACAGATAATGCCTGCACCACATCAGTTCATAGTAGAGCTCCCGTCTACATGCACCTTCCAAACCTGATCAAGGTTATCCGGAGCAGCCGGCCTTGTCATTTCAACAATGAAGTCGGCGAACGCCTGACCATTCACTGCCTTTCTTGGTTCGTAGGTGATTTCAAGACTTTGCATTTCAATAGCCCATTTGAGCATTCTACCGGATGACTCCAATGTTGTCATTGGCCGGTTTAGTGGTTGAACTTAGTAGATCACCACCGGATTTACCAAGAAGTAAGGTTTCAACTTATTAACAACCATGTAAAGAGTGAGGTACCATTCAGTGTAATCAACACACATGCGCTAGGTACCATTCGGCTTCTTTACAAGCACAACATTAGCTACCCAATCCGGGAAGTTACATGGCCGAATGAACCCAGCGTCTAACAACTTTTTTACCTCGGCAACTGCCGCCTGACTTCTCTCCTCGCCAAGATTTCTTTTCTTTTGCCGGATGGGCTTCTTTTTTAGATCAATGGCGAGTTTGTGGACAGCGAGATCTGGGCTGATGCCTGGCATCTCTTCCACTTCAAAGGCAAAAATGTCTTTGAATTCCTTCAGCAGAAGGTGCAAGTCTGCACCCAACTCTTTGTGAGCAACCGTCCCCACCTTAACAGTTCGCTCTGGATGGGTATCATCCAGAGGAATATCAATGTGCTCTCCAGCCGGCTGGGGAAGGAGATCATCTGACCGTTCCCCGGTCAGTGATTGCTATTTCTTCTCCTTCTTCACCTCCACCAGCTGATCAACTTTTCTTTTCTTGCCGACTGCTGGTGGGGGTGAATCAGGGTCCTTGACATTATCAAGGTCTATTGGCTCCTTTGGAGGACCGGCTGCAGCAGCCGTTGGTTTGACGTTTGAGAGGTAACACTTCCTTGCCGTCTTTTGATCCCCACAGACGGCGCCAAATGTTTTGGGTGTTTTTAGTCCCTCAAGAGAGTTACAGCACAAGGTCTGATCCGGAAGCGCCCGTACCTGCAAAACAACGGAGACTCCGGGTGGGTGGAGCTCCGCCTCCGACGATCAAGTTAGTACTTGAATGAGAAGGAAAAAGGTGCGGAAATTGAGGTGAGATCGTCTCGAATTCCAAGCCGATCAGGTGTTTCTTCTATTGTAAGAGAATGTAGGTAATTTTAGATAATTTTTTAGATGCCCCCAAAATGGGGTAATTCTCCCTATTTATAGGGTCATTGGGAAATGTGCCCATGATTAGGTCATTGCCCTAATCATTGGTGGGCTGCGCCGCATTGCGGCTACCTCGGGATTTGGGCCTAAAGGCCGCCGTTTCTCCCAGGTCTTTGGGATGACACGTGTCAAATGGAGATTGGTCCCATTGGGACCAATGAGGGCTTGACACGTGTCAAGCAGGGATTGGCCCACGTGGCATGGGTAAAATTACCCAAAACAAGGGCTACCCAAGTTCATTTTATAACTAAAATAAGGGCTAATAAGTTAAGATAAGATCAGATAAGTTAATATAAGTTCAGATAAGATCAAATAAGTTCATATAAGTAAAAATTAGGTGAATAGAACGCACCCTTAATTATGAGCACAAGAAAATTGAAGAAATTTAAAATAAAATGATTATGAAACATACGCATTATAGGTATTAAAAATATGAACATATGCATTGCACATGTGAATATATGCATTTTAGAAAATGAATCTAGGCATTTAAAATATGAGCATACGCATTGGTTCCCTGAAAGTGAACACATGCATTTCAGAAAGAGAACATATGCATAAAAATATATGCACATATGCATTTAAGAAAGTGAACATAAGCATTCAAAATATGAACATATGCATTGGGTCCCTAAAACATACACATTATAAGTATTAAAAATATGAACATATGTATTTTAGAAAATGAACATACACATTCAAAATATGAATATATGCATTGGTCCATTTTTGAATGCGTATGAACATAATTAAGCATTTCAGAAGGTGAACATATACATAAAAAAAATATGAACATATAGATTTAGAAAGTGAATATATGCATTTCAGAAAGTTTACATAAACATTTCAGAAAGTTTACAAAAGGATTCAACATATGAACATAAGCATTTAAGAAAGTGAACATATGCATAAAAAAATATGAACATATGCATTTCAAAAAGTGAACATAAGTATTCAAAATTTGAACATAAGAATTCAAAATATGAACATATGCATTTAAGAATGTGAACATAAGGTATCCGTTTGATTTCACTAATTTTTTTGACAATTCCAATAAAAAATTTCGAACAATAGAGTATCAAACAATATTAAAACAAAATTAAGTGGTAATCATTTTATCTTTATTTATATTCTGAAAATTATTATTTTTATTGGTGCGATGGTCCAAATGGACCCTCTCCACTTTTGTCAAATATACTTCCTCGGAGAACAGGGCCGTCGAAAAAAACAGGCCCATAGTCTCTTTTGTCGAGCACACCACGAAAGGAGAAGGAGAGAGAGAGAGACAGAGACAGAGGAAGAAGGGACCGGCGGCCGCCCAATCACTGTCAACACCAACCTAACCCCTTTAATGTAAGTCCTTTTTCTTTCCTAAAATTTGCGTTTTTTGGTTCTTTCTCTCTCCTCTAATTTGAGTATATCTTCAAAACTTAATTTGTATTCATGTGATCAGTTGTTTATTGCTTAATGCTTTCTCAATTTTTTCTTCATTGTTGCAGTTTTTATTGTTTCGAATTTGGGTTTTCTGGGTAAGTTTTGGACATGTTAATTGTGCTAAAATTTTGGTTTTGAATTTGTTAGGGTTAGGTTCTAACTGCAAAATCTAAGTATTCCATGGAGTAATGGGTTGAGGGTTTTTGGTTTGATTGAGTTGCTTGATGATAGTTTATATCATAGATTACATTCGTTGATTTTGGGTTTTTGTTTATTAATTAATTTGAGTTTTTCTTCAAACTTTAACATTGTTGCGCTACTTTTCAGTATCCATCAATTTGCTACTGTTTACTCTTAAAAATGAGCGATCGTGAAAATTTTTCTGCTAGTCAAGAGGAGTTCTCTTCTCATGAACATGATGATGATGTTACGGATTCTATGGATGATGATGCTGATAATGGGGAGGTTCCTGTTGAACGTGATGATTATGTTACGGATTCTATGGATGATGATGCTGATAATGGGGAGGTTCCTGTTGAAGAAGTGAGTATATTTTACTTGTATTAACTGTACAACTACTGATATATTGCTTGGTATAATTATTATAATTTTTTTTTTGTTTCCAGGTTCTACATCTTGATGATGTTTAGAGAATTTGTTGTATTGGAGCTGGAAGAGTGGGAGTTTTGTCAATGGCTGTTCTTTCGCACCACTGGCTAAATAAGACATTCGTTGTGGTTGACAGGGATATAGATCTCATCAATAATATAAATGGTGTTAACGAAGAGAATGAAAGATTGATGTTGTTTTCAGAACCTGGTATGGATGATTTACTGGATGAAGCTATGCATGTTAATTATAATTTGGTATTTAGCTCCAATATTGCTGCTAAGCTTGACCTTTGTCGGGTGATATTTATTGCGGTTAATATACCGTTAAAAGAACAGCCCAGACAGGTAAAGAGTGATTTTGATGTCCAAAATTGGGAAGATGCGACCAGAGCTATATTGGATTCAATTGGCAGGGAACCAGTATTGCGATCTAGGTATGTGGTTGTAAAGTCCACACTTCCAATAGACTATAAGAGGAACATTCATGATCGTTTCTCTGAGTACAACAACTTCAACTATCTTCATATCATTACCAACCCAGAATTTTTCTCCGAAGGCACGGTTGTTGATGATCTGTCATATCCTCATAAAATAGTGTTAGAAGAGTTTTTTAATGGTGGTCGAGAATTCTTTAGGGATTTATACTTGCCAGTGGTGGAGCATGATTATGATAGGATTGAAATGGTTACTTCCCTTTCTTCTGTTGAACTAGGTAAACTTTTGTCTAATGCATCAATTTCAGCTCAACTAACTATTATGAATATCGGGTCTACCATTTGCGGAAAGGTTGGTGCTAATTTTGATGATGTGAAGAGAAGTTTTACGGCCAACCCTAGGGTTGATGCTTTTTTTGTCGATTCAAGACCGGGTTACGGAGGATTAGGCTTGAACAAAGATGTGTCCTATCTTTCATATTTATGTGATTATATTGGATTGAAGGAAGAGATGGAACTTTTTAATAAGTTAATTAAATTAAGAAGGAAGAAAATGGATGATTTGGTGAAAACAATTTTATCCATGATAGGATCTTCAAAGAGAATAGCTATCTATGGTTTCTCCAACAAAGTTGATACCGATGATATTCGCGAGTCTCCGGCCATTTACATTTGCAAAGCATTGTTGAAAGCTCGTGATGTTCATTTGGTGGTTTATGATCCTGCTGTTCCTGATGAAAATATCATCTCATCATTCTCTGATAAAGCTAAAAATCGAGTTCATGTTGCTGCAAATGCGTCTGCCGCTTGGACTAACACACAAGCTATGGTTTTTCTGGTTGAATGGATGGAGTTTAAAACGATGTTGCAGCAAGAAATTCATCAAATTCTCCTTGCCATGAGAAGAACAAAATTTATTTTTGATTGCTGTGATTTGTTTGACAACACCGTTATTATTCCAAATACTCATTTTAAACTCTATAAGCTTGGAAAGCCTATTTAGACTTGCAATTGTTGACTTATTCAGTTGAAGTGTAATGGGAGTTTGATTTAGTTATATATGTCAATCTCTTGGTTTTTATGGTTAATTTTTTAGGCTATTAATCTATATTTAAATTTATCATATTTACTAATGTATTTGAGATATTGCATTTACAATTAGAGATTTAACTCTAAATATCTATCTGCTTATCTTTTTATCTATAATCCATGAAAAAAGTAAAAGTAGGTTGTGGATTTTATTTCTAATTAGAAAGAGCTTTAAAGCAGAAGTTTTCAGGTGGTTAATAAGCTAAAACCTCGAAAGGATGAAGTGATTTCTACTATAAAAATGGAACTCTAAGTTGAAATAGTTTTACTGGTCCTATTTTTAGTTGGCTGCCTTTGTTTTTTATTTTTTTTTATGTTAGGAAATTATGTTGCATAATTAGCAATAGTTTCCTTCATTTGACTGTGTGATGATGATGTATATTTTAATATATGTGCACTGTTCTAATGTTTGCCCTTTACTATACTTTTACCAAGTTTGTTGGCTTTCTGTTTTGTTCATAATTTGTTAGAGATGTTCTGGATTTGGGCATTTCCCTTTGGTCGTTTGTGTTATAAGGTTTTTGAATGTTCAGAGTGGTGTGGTGGATCTATTTGGGATTGTTCAAACCTCATGGCAGTATGATGCAGTAAGTTGTTGCCAGATTTTGTGTGATTTAATGTTTAGCTTTTATTCCCTTGGGGATTACATAGAGGGATTAGAGGGAATGATTTGTTAGCAATTTTTTGCTTTCAAGCTCCTATTTTTATAAAAAAAATTGTAGGGGGAGGGGAGGGGAGGGGGTGATTTTCTAAGTGTTTTTTCCCAACCTACTTTAAGTAGTAGATTTGCTAGTCGTTTGTTCACGAATTTATAGCTTTTGTTGTGCTTCAGGTTTTCCTTACCTTCTATTCTGTTCTGCTGCTTTCTGCCTTTTGTTCCAATTTGCAAGGCATTATAGTTGTTGATTTGCTGAATAGCCAATCTCCTCCCTCTCTTTTATGGCCTCTTGGATCGATTGAATATTTGAGGAAGGGCTATTTAGAGATTTTATATAGTTGTTAGTAGCTCAACTATCTTATTTATGCTATGCCTTCTTCTTTGCAGGTCAGCTACTATTTAAAGACTAGTGTTGTTCTTTTCCAGATTGTTTTTTTTTTAAATTGTTTTTTAACCTATTCTACGTAGTCAGAAACTTGCTGACAGGGAATTCAATGTGTGGTGGATGATTTGGGGGGGTTTTTCTAGTGTGGCAGTAGACTTTCTGCAGAACGTTGCTGATGAATACACCAATACTCCGACGTTACTTTATACGTTTGCATTTCTAGTTCATCAATGAGCTCTAGAAGTCGAAAAAAGAACATATCTCGGGACCTTTATGATGCAGTTTCTTTTGCAAAACTATCTCCTTTCTGCAAACTTAATTGTACTGGTTGGTTTACCTTCTCTGGGTTGAAGTAAGTTTTGATACTTTTTGACTAATATAACTTGTTGCATTTGGGCTGACTTGTAGCTTATATTGTATCGTTCCCTTTTTGTTTCTATAACCCTTCTTTGTGAAGGCAATATTTTAACACATCTTGTGAATGATAATAAGCCTTTCCACTACAGTTCAATCTATGCTTTTGCTCTTCACACATCAGCCTGCCCTTTCTCATGGACTTGCTTCGGCCCACTGCAACTTCTGGCTGCTGGTGTATTGGATATCAGTAGCATTACACATATGTTATCTGGCCACCCTCAGCAAAATATGGTTGCCATATTAGATGTTATCATGCCAGTAACCGCTATTGGTATTTCCTAATTCAATTGTCTTGGCTTAGTGTCTTATAATTATGTCTTCTCATGGTGCTCAGGGGAACCTGGTCAGGAACAGTTATTGGGTAAATTGCAGCTGTTGACTCTAGAATAATCAGAGGACGTGGAAGACGTGCATTCTGTAGAAACATTGGTGATTGGAGCTCTTACATCAGGTACTGTGTATCTGCATATGCTTGTTTTATGGTGTAAACCAAATATGTTGATATTCACCACGTTCATAGATAATGATCATCATTTTTGTGTGTTATTTACATCACCTTGGATTTAAGGATGTTACATGGCTTGTCCCAAGTACAATTGTGCTACTTGCAACCTGAGCACCTCATGCCATTATATTAGGTCTTGCATCACCTTAAATTAAAGGATGTTACATGGCCTGACCTAATTTCCTGTAGTATTCTATCCGTATATTTGTACTCAGCATTGATAAAAGTGATTCATGGTTTTCATGTTTAGTATCTGTTGCATCTTTACGATAGGCGGTTATTAGCTGTGATTATTTTGTTTAAGTTTTTTTTTTTTGCTCCATGGTCATTTGACTTATTAAATGAGTCCGTTTAGTGTTTGCTGTGTTATGCAGTGCTGATTTGTTTTGTTAGGAATCTATCATATGCTTTGGTTGTTTCATCATTACATGGTATGTAAGAATGGTGAATTAAACTTGATGTTTTTAGGATTCTACTCAGGATCTTTACTGTGTAAGGCTTGTGCTTGTAGACCACACTGCTCCTTTTCAAGGCCTTTATTATTTTTGGTGCTTAAGTGGCAGGTAAATTACTTACATTTATGTGCACTTTTTATTAGGTCGGTCTTAAGTAATAATGGATATAACTATGTGCAAGGAATTAATATTAGGGGAAGGGTATGTTAGTCATAGCCTATTAATAGTAGCTTGGGGAATAAGTTAGAGTTTGTTATGAGAGTTTTTCTATATATAGGCCTCATTAGGAGGAATAATCATCATGTTGAATATTGTGAGGATTCTTATCGGGAGAGAATGAGCCTCTCGAAAGCTCATGTTAGGAGAGCATCCACCTCTCGAAAGTGGAATTATCGTTCTATTAATGTAATTCACCTATTATCAATATAATCAGCATTGTTCTTCCCTAATCTTTGCCATAATTAGAGTTGTAATCTTGTCAGAAACCATGCTAATTCCTAGCACTATGCTGATAGAAGTAATATTTGAGCCTAAATAAAGTTGGGTAAAATGACTTTTGATACATTTGGTTTAAACATGTGTCTGAACTACCTATCAGTGGATTAAACAAATACATGCACTTGCATATAAGCTTAAAATAAGCTTTAAATGATAAGTCCTGTGTTGTCTTTATAATTAAAAGATTAACCAAGGTTCACATGCAGCCAGTTGGGCAAAAACCTAGATTAACAAAGAGACATCTATTATCTCTCTTATATTAGTTATTTGTGCATGGCGGTTTTGTTTGCTATTAGAGCTCAGATATGAAAACATCAAGGTCAATATTTTTCATATAAAAGGTTTTATAGAGCCCGCATTTAATCAGTCTAGCCAATTATTGTAATAATATTTGTCTATTGCAATAACCCTTTTCGGTATCAGTCAGGCTAGGCTGTTATCCATAGTGGCTTGTTATAGCAGCACTTCCACAATGATGGACTATGTAAAACATTAAATTTATGCTATTTCATTGTTCAACTTGTAACAGAACCCTATGAACAGCTAGTCATAACCAGGTGTGAAACTAAAAATAAAATAGTTGTGTTAGGCTTTGAAATGAAAATTAAAATTTTTGTGATCTCGAGATTACAAATCTATACACCTTCTATAAATATGAGAAAATTGTTACTGTTGAATGAATATTGATGAGACATTTTGGCCCTTCTTTCCACATCGGTTCCTTATTGCCTTTTTTTGCTTGTCACGTGGACGTTGTTTGGGATTAGTACTTTTTCTCTCTCTCCTCCATTGAAGCACGCTGAAGCATTCTCTCCATTAAAACAGCTTTTTGAAGTAGATGGTTATCCTTCTTTATAGTCATCAAATATCTTCTCTCCTTCTGATTCACTTTCTCTCTCCTCTGAAATCAAATTGTACCAGAAATTCAGCATCAATTTGACCTAGGTTTTTAAGTTTAGGTGATGAAATTGCAGATGATGCTTGGGTTTTCTATCTCCTTTCATCAACACTGCTTCTTCTTCAATTCAATCTCTACAGTACTATGAGGAACACTTTGACGATACTTTTGTTATCAGGTATGAATATATGATGATACTTATGAATACATAGTTTTCAGCTTACATGTATTCACCATACAAATTTTACCCACTTCCTGAAAACCCTATTTGAAAGCTCTATTTCCTTAATTGCCCAGATTATTGCGCATAACCCTTTTTTTGTTTTATTTTATGTGTTTTAAGATTTGAGTTACTAGGATGAAGGACAAATCATCGAAATTGCCATCAGCATCACCTTTTAAATTGGCAAGTTGTTTGATCTTGATGTTTCTTGGGATAAGTTTAACTTTCTTGTCTTTGAGATTATTTCTCCTTTTAAATTTCTTTTATTTTTAGGAAAATTATTCTTGAATTCGTATTGATGCCCTACAACTGGGTTTGTTAGTTAAGTTTGACATCAATATGATTGATTTAGGATTATGTAGAAGATTGTAGTCCATCTTAATTAGTGGGATTTATTGGAGTTTTCGCCAATTTTCCAAATTAATGAGATTTATTGCAAGGTATAATTGAATGAGATTTATTGCAAGGTATAATTGATTTTAATTGGTGAGGGAATCACTTCAACGAGAGGGGGTGAACTAATGTTAGGGTGAAAGGGCAACATATAGGATAACATGCAGAGAGGAGGGAGAAAATATGTAGAGTACTTCAAAAGACCATTATAGTGTGAGGTAAAGATATGCACTTTCACCGGTCCATAGGCTCCATACTTATGTTGTAAACTTGGAATGTCGAGTGTTACATGGATACTCAAGTAGGGGTGAAAGTTCGGTTTGCGGTTTGTATTATGGCCAAAACCGAATCCAATTCGAATTAATTCGGTTTTGGATTTCTCAAACCGAATCTAAACCAAATTGAGATTTGGTCCAATCCAAACCGAACCTAACCAGATTAATTCGGTTTTCATAATTAGATTCCAATCCAAACCGAAATTTGTCCCTCCTTTTGCAACATTCGATCTCGAAACCCGAACTTCACCTAGAAAATTCCTGCAATTATTTAACTTTTTCTCGTTGAGTACATTCGTATGACTCCATTTCCCATTTTCACCACCACTCAATCTTTCATCAACCTTCCTTTCTCTCTCATCAATGGCAGGCAATTGATCTGATCACAACATGTTTCTCTCTCCTAAATTTGGGTTTCAAAATTAATTGACTGTGTCCATATATTTTCAGGTTCTTGGTACTCCTACTAGAGAAGAAATTCGATGATGAATCCCAACTATATTGATTTTAGGTTTCCACAGATTAAAGCTCACCCTTGGCACAAGGTATTATTGCTGTTTCCTCCCCTCTACTTTTTCACTCCATTTTTTTAAAGTGGATCATAGCATCATACTATAATGTGTATCACTTGGGCCAATTTCTTCATATGATGAATTTATGAAAGGGGATGAGTACTGCTGCAATGTTGATTACATTGTTCATTTAATAAGATTAAGGTGAGGTGGTCAAGTGGCCTGTACTTTGAGAGAATTGATCCATTGAAGTGTTAAGCATTAGTACCTAAACCCTTATGGCCTTGTGAAACTTATATGGCATTCATATGGCCGTCTTTGGGTGAATTTTTTTATTTTATTTTATTTATATATTTTTTTTTTCTTGGGAACAAGATGGTGTGTTGTTGGAAGTCCTTACATGCATCTGATTCCCTAACATTTTTGTGTAAATCTGCAATGTCGTATACAAGTATCTATGTAATTTTCAATCAATGAACAATTTGATGCTTGAAAGAATTTGTATACTGATAATGATGTTCGCTGATGCAGGTTATTCCTAAATGAATGCCTCCTGAATGAATGCCTCCTGAAGCCATCAATCTTGCTTCAGGACTACAGTATTCACCCAATCTTTGTTGCACTGCAGTAAGCAACCATCCTCACCCATCACCCTTTTCTCCCCCACATTTTCGCACAATCTCATTTGGCACAATCTCATTCTTATTTTCTTATTTGACCTTGCCTTCATGTAAAAGCCTCCCTCCCCTTCCAAGGGAAAAAAAAGTTACAGGAAAGGATGGAATGGGTTGCATTCAAGGAAACATGAGAACGTCTAGATTTATATTTCCTATAAATAATCTTGTTAAATTATATTGTACGGTATTAACTGTTCGTAACTTTTTGCAAGTTTTAGAATCTGAACTTATCTTTTTGCCTTACTAATTAGCTTGCAGTTGGAAGCATGTGTTCATCCTTTCTTTGATGAGCTTCGTGATCCCAATACTCGCCTTCCAAACGGTCGCCCACTGCCACCTCTTTTCAATTTCAAGCAAGAAGTAAGGTAGATAATCTGTAAAGCAAATTTATGATCTTTCTAATCTATTTGAAATTACTGAGTTCTTTTCTATGGTTTTATGTTCTATCTTTTCCTAGCTATAAACAAGTTACTTTGTTCTTTTCCTAACAGATGTATATACTGAGGGTTTCAATGGTATCTATCAGAGCAGCTTTGAAGCTCCAACATGGCGGTGTCAAGGTCTATTATTGGGACCTTGACAATGAAATGGCCCTGATAATTATATTTTCTATTCATTTGCATCTTCTTCTGCTAACTTATATCTTAACAACCTGAAGCATGGGAACTACGGGCTACTGACGAGGTGCAAGGTTGAGGAATGACTTCCGAGGCATTGAAGTATGAATGATCTCTTAGGTTCTTACTCTCCTTGATTACTCTATGTATTTGGTTGCCTGATTGGATGCGTTGGAAGGAACTCATTAAATCATCTTTGCAGAATTGGTGCTGTCGCTCTCTATGATGTTCTTTAGAAAAGGGCAGGGGTTGGCAACTTGGCAAGTAGTAAAAAGAAAAATATATTTTTAAAAGCCTTACAAAGAAGAGTGGGTTGAAGAAAGAAAGAAGGGGGGAAGGAACAAGAGGGGGATGAATAAAAGATGGGATAGTGGTAAAGACCAATTTTAACACCTTTAGGATACTTTTAAATTTGCAAAGCCTTAAAAGACGAGTTTGAGGATGATGGAGGAAGAGGAGGGCGAGAATATAAGTTCACCATTTTTAAAGTGTAGTTGAGGAAGAGATATGGAGCACTTTTAGAGAGAGAGAGAGTGAAAGGGAGGGGAGTAAGTACAACCTATAATTTTCAAAGCCATTTAAAGGAGGGAACATGGAGAAGAAGGATTTGGCATTTTATTGGGTAACATGGTACAAATCAAAGTTGGGTTGAGTATAGTTCGCATTGAGATCAATTAGAATTTTCAGAAATTAGTTTAGATCGATGAAATCGATTGGAACAGCCAAATTTACTTTAAATTGCTAAAGATTAGTTATGATCAATTGAATTTAGTTTTACAGTTTGGTACGAATCAGAGTTGGCTTGAATTAAAGTATGTAGAAGAGAGCAAGACCTGTTGTGTGAAGCTGATGCTGCCCCGTTGCTTCTGTTTTGATTTAACTCTGCATGTCCCATCAAGTCAGCCAACTTCATTTTTTATAATCACGTTAACAAAAGTAATCTGTTAGGGTTACCTTTGGGCTCTTGTAATTTGTCCTTGTTAGTTTGGTCAAGGGCGGTGTTGTGGGTTGGTGTTTTGGGTAAACAGCCGCATAAGAACAGGGATTCAGTGGGCTAAATGTAAGATCTTTGGGAAGTCTCAAACAAATAATTATGAAACTACCCATTTTGCTTTTAAATTTGCGATTTATACTGGTTGGATTATAAATGCACTCTTTTTACCAAAAAAAAAAAAAAAAAAAAAAACTATACTCTGCGTGATGCTGAAATTGGCCTTATTATCTTTTCGTCTACTGGGAAGCTCTTTGAATAATCCAATTCAAGGTCCCTCTTTCTTTCTGTCTTCTTCTTTAAACATTATTCTTGGTTTTTTTGCTCCTTTAGGTCTTGATCTGATGAATAGTGACTAAGATTGTGTGATTACCTTGTGACTTTTTATACGATATCTTAGAATTAATTAGAATTAAAATTTATAAAATTTTGAAGTTATTTTTCTGTTAGATCCAATCTTTGGTTAGTAAATTTGTTAGTGTTTGCTAATTGATTTCAGAGATCTTGCTTGCTACACCTGCAATTAGGCCTAAAAAAATATAGCTTATGAAACAGTTGTGTCTGAACCACCAAGATAATAATCATAAATTATTAGAGGGGGGAAGCTTTTCAGCTTATTGATATTCTTCTGAGAAGTTAAATTGGCGGATATGATCAACATGGAGCAGTATATGTATTTGTTTAATAATTAGAAGAGTTGACCTTTAAAGTGGTTGTTAGCTCTTTGTTTACCTTTCCAGTACCGGTCCTTGTATTTGCTCTGGATTTATATTTGCTTGCAATGTTATTCAAAATTCCTGTAGCTGTATTTGCTGTCAGTTTAGCTTGCAAATGTTTGTTGAAGCCGAGTCTTCAACTAATGCCTGTATGTTAGCCAATTGAAAATTATATATACCTGTATGACTTATGAAGATTAATTGATAAATTCTATACTAATTATGGGCTAAATATCTGTGCAATTTTGAGGTCATTAAGGAACTTCAATGATGTTAACATCGATTCGTTGTGAAAGTTGATTTTCCGCTCTGTACATCATTCTGTAGTACTTTTATTTCAGTTTTCAGTTTTAATATAAAGATACCATGTCATGTTACATTGATATGCTTTCCTTGTGATACTTTCATCAAGTGGGATTGTGGGTTTTTGGAGGAGCTTTGCAAGTTGATGCAGTCACTGCTGCAATTCTTGGATTATCTGTGCAGCTCATTACTGGTGTTGTCACCTAGAAAGAATGCTTATTTGAGTCAGTTGCTTGGGATACCCTTACATAGTTTGCTGCACTTATTGCCTGGTTATTTCAACAAGTATGGGCTCATTTCCTGGTTCTGGGAAACCATGGTCAAGGTCTGTGTTCTTTCCTCTTCCCCTGAATATTTTTCCTCTTTTTCCTTTTGATGGTAAAAAATATGTAAGTAATAACCATCCTTAATTAGCAGAATTTAAAGTGTCTACATTCATAGTAAGTTCATCATTATTTACCAACTGGATTTTGTGATATGTATTTCACATGAGTTTGGAATCATTGTCTTTAACTTTACTAAGTTCAGAAAAATATATGGTTGGTAAGTTAATCATTCTTTATATGATACTGCTAATCCTTTTACTAAGTTCAGCAAAATATATGTTGATTAGCATTAATTTAACTAAGCCATTTGGAAATGACATTTGTCTGCAATCTGTTTTTACAACTGACTGCCTTCCTTTAAGCCCTTTTTTGTTTCCTTTCTGTTTGGGGGGTTACTAGGAATGGACTCAATTGGAGGAGAGGCGGTAGCAGTAGGTCCTGGATTCACTTAGTAGAAAGGTGGTTGATCTTGTTCGGGGACTTCTCTAACTTGTTCGAGGTTGATCGGGCTAGAGAATGGTCCATCCGAGCAACTGCTGGGATTGGTGAGCCTAGCCGAAAGATCCTCGTTCCTGCTGTTGACAACTAAAGGCTGCTGATGCAGGAAACTTCAGCTTCCTGCTTCACTTGCATTTTTTTTTTGGTTCTTCCCTGAATTTACAAGTTGTTCATAATCATACTCTTACTGTAGAGATGATTGAATCACTTCAGCTGAAGGTTGAAGAGGCTGAAGCCCGGGCCAAACATGTAGAGCTGAAGGCTGCGACAGCAGAAGAGCAGTACGTAGATGCCGAGAGCCATGAAAAGAGAATGGTTGAAGCCTTCAACGTCTTTTTCTCGGAAATGGAAGAACATGTTCTTCCTACCGTTGATCAAGGCTCAGCATAGCTGAATGAGTTTGGGGTCGTTGATGTCCCCGGTCTTCGAGCCCGGATTGAGCATAGAATTGAAGAGGACACCAGGGCTCGGATGGCCAGTCGAGAAGAGAGGTTCTGAAAGAGGGAAGAGACGCTGGATGAAGAGATGAAGCGTCTTAACCAAGCTGTTGAGAGCAGAGATGTCCAGCTCCTCGAGGCCCAAACTACTGCTGAAGCCTAGGACTTAGATGCTCAGCTGAAAGAAAAGGGGACAAAATTGTCTCAAGCCCTAACTGCAGTGGGTCTTGTCTGGGATCAACTGAAGAACCAAGGAGCAAGGGTTCGGCTTCAGCTTGATGAAGCTAAGAAGCAGTTGGCTTCAAGAGCAGCTGAAGGAGGCCCAAAAACAACTAGAGGTCAAGATCTATACTCTGAGTATGATCAGGGTTACGAGAACGACTTCAACGTGGCCAGGAGGTTGGCTCATCATGCAAAGATAAACTGGGACTAGTGTGAGGTCTGGCTGAAAACATCAACGACCTTCACATGGTCTATGCTAGCCAGGCCGAGTTGGATCTCCTGGCTCGTCTTCAAGTTGCTGAGCTGGAGAAGCTCTGAAGAGGAAGGAGGCCGAAGAGGCCAAGACGAAGGCTCAGCCTGCCGCTTCCTCAGCCGGGGCTGAAACTGCTAAGAGTCCCAACTGCTCGGCCTGACCCTTCTGCTGAAGCCTAGGAACTCGGGCATTCGTCTTCAGAATCTTGCGGATCGGATCAACATGCACTTAATTTCTGACTTGTCGCTTCTGAATTTTTTGCCTTGAATGTTTTTTGCTTCAGCTTGCCTTGATGTACAAACTCTATCTATTTTTGCTTTTTTGAGTAGTTGTACGTAGCTCGGCAGCTGTAATTTCCCGTTTGTGGGCGGCTGCCGATATTAGTTCTTGTTCTGAAACATTTATTTGTTGTAGCTCGGTTTTCGAGCGTATTTCACATGTTATAAATCTGCTGCTTTTTTTTCCATTGTCTTGCTTTAGAACTTTGCATTTGCTTTTCTAAGTTTCCGAAAATTCGCAAAAATCTTCCAAGTAAAAAGCTTCGGCTTGGAAAATTTCAGCTGAAGATAATTTGCACTTGTATGCTTGTTGCCCCCAGAAATCTGAAGGCCTTGTCTTCGGATTTATAAGATGACTGCTTGTCCTTTTTTGATTCAGACGAAGCTTTTAATGTTAACAATATTTCTAATACTTCACGCTTTTTTTCTTTGCTTTCTGTCTGTCCTTCAGAATGGATATCTGAGACACAGGACCAACTTATGGCAATGTCTTAAACAATAACCGTTTGGGGCACAAGGCTCAGTTAAGGCAATACCCCAGATTCGTCCACGGACTCATTGCCTTTAGGAACAAGTCTGTCCGAAGCATTTTCTTCGGCTGGAAGACTGATGTTCCGTGTTAGGCGGGTTTTGTAGCAATCCAAAACATGGTGCCTATAAGGCGAATGCTTCGGTCAGTGCCAAAGAAAAACCCTTTAAGAGAAAATAGAAGACAGAAAAATAAAAGAACAAAAAATTGCAAGTATTTGAAGAAATGGTGGCTCGGAGGCCTTTTCATTAATAATTGAAGATGCACTTACAAAGATTGTTCCGCCTCGAAGGGTTTACACATGATATTTCTTAAGTACATCAGCATTCCAGTGAATTTTCAGCTCAGTTCCATCCAACTGCCGAAGTCGGTATGTTCCAGGCTGAAGCTCATCATAAATTTCATAAGGTCCCTCCCAAGTGGCTGAGAGTTTCCCATGAATTCGGCTCTTCTGCACAGCTGCAGCATTCCGAAGGACGAGGTCTTCAATTTTGAGAGGCCTCGCATGAACTCTTCGGTTATAAAATTTGCTGATTCTTTGTTTGTATGCAGCCATTCTGTCTCGGGCTGAGTCTCTGACCTCGTCTAGGAAATCGAGGGATTCCTTCATGAGTTGCTCATTCTCAGCCGAGAAGTGGTGCACTCGCAGACTTTCGGAGCCGATTTCTACTGGAAGAATGGCTTCGGCACCATACACCAGCTCAAAAGGTGAGTGGCCCATTGTCTCTTTTTCGGTTGTCCGAAGTGACCATAGGGTTGCGGGGAGTTCCTCTATCCACTTGGACTTTTGATCTTCAACCCTCTTTTTCAAAGCGTTGAGGATTTGCTTATTTGCAGCTTCGGCTTGACCATTGCTTTGTGGATGACACACTGCTGAGTATGCCAATTTAATGCCGAACTGGTCAGTGTATCGCCTTAGCGACAAATTATCAAATTGCCTTCCATGATCAAAGACAAAGACCCTCGGAATACCGAAGCTGACCTCAATGCCTTGTGGGCTAAAGTCCTTTCCCCAATGTGGTTCCCGCAGATGCCAAGATGGATTTCCCGAAGGATGTAATCAGCGTCTGTTGCTCCCACGCACTTCAGGAATGGGGCTGAGAAGGAATTTTTCAGGAGCTCTCCTCTGAAAAAAATGAACCTTGAGTTGGTTCGCATCACCTTGGAGGCTAGGATTTTGTCTTCGAGAATTTCTCCGCGAAGCTTGTAAGCTAGAATGGGATCCATCCAGCTCGGCTCGTGGTCGACGCAGCACACTTCAGGTACTTCGTCGATGCTTTTTTCTCGGCGCACTTCCACATATACAGATTGGTTCAGCTCGGTTAGAGTTGAACTAGCAAGCTTGGAGAGTGCGTTGGCTTGTGCATTGAGGATCAGTTGAACTTCAAAAGTTCTCAGCTTCGCCATAATTGGTTTGATCTTTGCGAGATAAGCTATCATTGAGGGCTCTTTGGCCTCATATTCGCCTCGGATCTCATTTGCGACGAGCTGAGAGTCTGTCTTGAGACATACATGTTTGGCTTCCGAAGAGATGCACAGCTCTAGGCCAGCGATTGCTGCCTCATATTCGGCTTCGTTGTTTGAAGCCTTGAAAGAAAATTTCAGTGCATACTCGAAGGATTTGCCTTCCGGAGAGGTTATCACTACCCCTGCTCCTGAACCATTTACGGTGGAGGATCCATCCGTAAAAACAGTCCAAATTTTCTTTTCTTCATCTAGCGTCTCCTGGTACGAGCATTCAGCCAGGAAGTACGCTAGAGCCTGAGCCTTAATGACTGCTCTCGGCTGGTAGTTGATGCTGAACTCAGTGAGCTCAAAAGCCCACTTGGCTAGCCTACCAGATTTTTCAACTTTGTCGTGGACTTTTTCCAGCGGCTGATCAGTTAAGACCACTATTTGTTGGCAATCAAATTAGGGCCTCAGCTTCCGAGCGGCTACCACTACTGCATATGCAACCTTTTCGAGTAGGGGGTAGCGAGTCTCGGCGTCCGTTAGAGTGTGGCTGATGAAGTAGATCGACTGCTGAACTTTTTCTTCTTCCCTCAGCAGTACTGCACTTATAGTGGCTGGACTGACTGCCACGTATAAGTAAAGAGTTTCTCCTTCGGCTGGGCGAGCCAGCTTCGGAAGTTGAGCTAGATGCTCCCGAAATTGCTTGAAGGCTTCTCTTTGCTCGTCTTCCCAGATGAGCTCTTTAGATTTTGGGAATTTCAGGGCTTTGAAAAAGGGTAACCCTTTGTCCGAGGCTCTAGAGATGAACCTTGACAGGGCGGCAATTCTTCCGGTGAGCCGCTGAACGTCCCTCTTTGTTTTCGGCTTGGGAAGATCGAGCGCTGCTTGCACCTTTGTAGGATTGGCATCAATCCCTCTTTTGCTAACCATGAAGCCGAGTAATTTCCCAGATTTCACGCCGAAGAGACACTTCTTCGGATTCAGCTTCATTTGGTGCTTTCTTAAGGTGGCGAAGGTTTCAGCCAGGTCCGTAACATGGTCTTTATCTTCCTTGCTTTTGACGATACAATCGTCGACATAGACTTCCATATTTCGGCCTTTTTGATCGGCGAAAACCTGATCTACCAGCCTTTGATACGTTGCCCCCGCATTTTTCTAATCGAAGGGCATCATTTTGTAATTGTACACCCCGACGTTTGTGACGAAGGCCGTCTTTGCTCGGTCTTCAGGGTGCATGAAGATCTGATGATACCCCGAGAATGCATCCATGAAACTAAGCAGAGCATGCCCACTTGTCGAGACGACTAGCTGATCGATCCTCGGTAAGGGGTAAAAGTCCTTTGGACAAACCCTATTTAGGTCCGTGAAGTCAACGCACATTCTCCAGGTGCCATTTGCCTTCTGAACCATCACCACATTAGCCATCAATTCTGGATACTGACAGGGTTCGATGAAGCCTGCATCCAGCAACTTTTTGACTTCGGCTGCAATGTCTCGGTTCTTGCTTACGGAGTAATTCTGCTTCTTTTGCTTAACTGGCCGACACGTGGGGTCGACATTAAGCTTGTGGGAGATGAGTTCCGGATTTATTCCGGGCATATCAGCTACCGAGAAAGCGAACACATCTCTGTTGTCCCGAAGGAATTGGATGAGCTCAACGCGGACGTTCGGATCGAGATCCAGTCCGATTGTAACGCACTTTTCAGAGTCTCCTTAGCCAACTCTATGGTTTGAGTCTGCTGATCCAGCTCCATTGCTTTGGGGCCGGATTCTTCACAATCGGGCCTGCTGTCAATATTAGCAGGTTTCCCAAACTTTTTCTTCAGTTGGCCTTCCGAGTCTTTCGGCTCGGAAGAGGAACCACACTTTTCTTTCCCTAGCGATTTTTCTTTTGCCAGGGTACCTTGGCCGAAGCGCTTAGGCCTTTCGGCTTCTTCGCACTTCGCTCCATTTCTTTTTCCTCCTCATCCTCGTCATCGTCGTTCGAACGACTTGTGGATGGCTTGAGGTAGTTGCATCTTCGGGCTTCCATTTGGCTGCCCTCAATTCTTTCGGGGTAGCCGGCGTTTGAAACGTGGATCATAATCTGATGGTACGTGGAGACTACCCCCTGAATCTCGTGAATCATAGGTCTCCCTATGATCATGTTGTATACGGATGGAGCGTCTATGACCAAGAATTCGGCCATGAAGTTCCTGGCTGCTTCGTCGCGGTCGATAGTGACAAGAAGTGTGATTTTCCCGTCGGGGTAAGTTGAAGACCCGTCGAATCCAGATACCGGGTAGGGTACTGGCGTGAGGTGCTTGGTCTTCAGCTTAATCTGGTTATAGGCCTTTCGGAACAAAATGTTTGCTCCGCTACCACCGTCGATGAGGGTTCGCCTTATGATCACCAGAGGATCTTCATGAGGGTACGTTACCCCCCGGAAGTCAGCGACTGTGAACGTCATGTTCGGCACCGGCGATTGGGGAGGCTGGATGTCACCATTGTTCACCTGATGGGTCAGCGCCCTCAAGTGACGTTTTCGCTCTCTCCGAGAACTTAGGCCCCCGGAAATGGTAAGGATTGTCAGAAAAGTTTCCTTGTCCGACGAGTTGCTGTTCATCCGGGGGAAGTCAATTTCTTGCCGAGGGTCTTTCTCTGCTATCTCAGCTTTTTTCTCGCGGTGATCCGCGAGATACTTTTTCCAGTAACCTTTCCGGACCATATCCTCAATTTGGTCCTTCAGCTGGATACATTCTTCGGTGTGATGTCCCGATGATTCATGGAACTCACACCATCGGTCTTTATTTTTCTGCTGATACCACTGGGGAAGTGGTCTCGGCTTCTTGTACCTCTGCTCCTCCTTCGTCACGCTGTAGATTTTAGCGTGAGGGCGAGAGGAGTATAAGATTCGTATCTACCCAGGTGAGGGGTAGATTTGTCCTTCTTCGACTCGGCCGCTAAAGAAATTTCGGAGGCTTTCGCCTTGCCCTTCTTCTGGCCTTGGCCTTCAGACATTTGCTGTTTTTGTTTCTAAGCCCATGTTTGGGGATGAGTTTTTGTTTTGTTCCACTCTTCGGCTCGGATGAACTTGTCCGAAGCATTCAGAGCTTCCTCCAAGGTCCGCGGGGGATGCATGACCATGAAGTCGAGGAACTTGCCAGTCTGTAGGCCGTTTTGCAAAGAAAAGACGGCCAACCCTTGGTCCAGGCTTGTGATGCCGGACGACTCGTTGCTGAAGCGAGTCAGGTAGTCTCGGAGACTCTCGGTCTCCCCTTGCTGCAGGCCCAAGAGCTCTGCAGTTGTCTTCTCTCGGCGGTTTGCCGTAGAAAACTTGCTTTTAAATTTGGTGGACAGATCGTTCCACCCAGTTATTGAACCCTCCTAAACACCCTTGTGATCCACGCTTGCGCGACCCCCTTAAGAGTGGTAGGAAAGTATTTACACCAGGTCGTTTCGGACCTAGGGTTCAGATGCATGTGCCCCTCGTAAGAGGCAATGTGGTCCTTCGGATCCGAAGTACCGTAGTAAGTAATGTGCGACGGAATTTTCACCGTCAGCACATGCTCTTCCAGAATCCATTTTTCAAATGGAGAACTGGTGGGAAGCATTACGGCCTTTCCCTTGTTCCTAGCCGTTGGGACTGCGCTCCGCCCTCTCAGAGAGGTAGAAGTGGTTTTCGTCCCCGGCTGGGAAGACTTAGGACGAGACTCAGTACGATCAGGGTAAGAGAGGCGGCTGTGCACGCTCTGCTCCCTGGAGCCGAGACGGTCGTAAACGCCTCGGCGAGCATACTCTGGTCGAGCTGAAGCAGAGCTGCTGCTTTTATTACTTTGATAATTTTGGGTGTTGGATTCCCTGAAGAAGTGCGAGTTCCTTTTTCTTTCTCGCTCGGTTCTCCAAGTATCCTCTTCCCATTGGTCCCCCAATTCCTTGAAGGATGGGGGCTTTCCTCCCCGCTGGCTCGTTTTCCTCCGCAGCTGCCTCGGCTGAGGGGGTGAACGGTCATGAGGTGGTGGCATTGCTTGGGCCTTCATCATTTCCATGAAGACCGCGACCGCTCTCGCCACTTCCTGAGTCAAGGGCCCTGTCTGAGGGGTCCTCGGCTGAGAACGGGAGTGGATGCTCTGAGGATGACTCTTAGCATCCGACCGGCTCACATGACGAGAACTGGTCGGTTGTTGAGTGTGATGAGGTGGAGATGGAGATTTCTCCGAGGGAACCCTCTCCGAGCTGGCTGATTGCCTACTCATGGGGGTGATGGAGACAGTGATGGCGAGGGCGTCAAAAGTGGACCTTTCCGCGCACCCATTTGGATCGGGTTCCTCCTCGATGGGGAGGAATCGGATTTGTTAATGTTTTTACCGTTCTTACGGTTCTTAGCCATTGCTAATGAGACTGCGTAGAACGATAGAGATTGACTTGTTTTTTTTAAAGTCTTCCACACAGACGGCGCCAAATTGTTTCGGATGAAAACAATGGGACCTTCGGCAAGGTCCTTTTTGGTGGGCTGAAGACTGGTCTCGGTCCAAGTGACGACTGTGCCGAGGATTTCATGCACAGCAAACACACGTAAACTGACCTCGGGGGTTGTGCCGAGGAAGGCCCCTCCGATGCCGAAGTCAATACAGTGTTCAGAGAGAGAAAGCTATACAAGAGTATTAATTGCTTGAGGCTCTAAGTGAATGAATGTAATGTGAGAGTAGTGATGACTTTTATACCTTTGCACAATTGGAGATATGGGCCACGAGTCAGGTGGGCTTGCCACATTGACTGGGCCATTGACTTGACTTGGCATGGATTGGAGAGTTGAGCCTTTGACCTTGGGTTTGTAATTGAATCATTTATAGACTGGCCCAACTACGCTAAATTGGACCCAAACAAAAAGTTAGGAATAGACTTTAAATTTCACATAAATATATGGAAAAGGGAAGGGTAGCAGAAGGAGGAAGTAGCAGATGCGACTACAGTTACTATATTTTGTAACCAGATTTAAAGAGGAATCTGGAACAAGAGTAAGAAGTTGACAATGAAGATGAGATGATAAAGAAAAAGACAGGATTAAGCCAAAGAAGAGGGAGCAAAGATAGAGCATTTCTAACAGACTATTATAGATTATAACTGTTTAATACTACTACAACAAAGTCACGGTTGACGGTTAGTATTTTCTTTATCCAAAAAATACTCAAAGAATGAAACTACATATTCGAAAATCAAACAATAAGCCAAGATAAAGGGGCAAACAAACAGTCCCAGGAAAAAAAATACCTAACAGTAAGTAAATGCTATGATCTTGATTCTTTTTATAGCTTCTTTATGTGAATTTTTGGATGTTCCTATCAATGTTACAATTCAGTTTCTGTAACTTTTGATTCATTCTTGTTTTTTGTGATGCATAAAAAAAGGTGTTCGGGAAAAGGGTGAATGAGAGTGATAGTTTGAGGATAATGGCAATGAACCTAAAAACTCTTTTTTATAATCCTTTTGGAAATTAGGTTTTATCTTAACTTTCAAATAAACCTTTTGGGAATTAGTTGTTTCAATTACTTTGGTAATATTCCATATCCACTCTTTCCAAGCTGTCCAAGCATATCCTTTTGGAAATTAGTTGTTTCAATTACTTGTTGACAAGTCGTGTAAATGAAGTACTGTAAACTATTTATCTATCCAATCAGAACTTATATTTACTCCAGTAGAAAGTGCAAAGGACAAAGGGCAAAGATCAAGTCCAAGATCAGTAGAAGGTTTGATAATAAATCTCTGTTGAAACTTGTGATCTAGAAAGTGCAGATAAATTTTAATTGCAATGTGTAACTAGAGTAGCTATTGGATATTGGTTTAATTTAGTTTATGTACTCATCCTTGTATTTCTTGTTTCAAAAGTGATTTTGTATCGTGATGCAGATTACAACAGAACGAATAAAGGATGAATAAGTATTGCCTGACAACGAAAATGTTTTTTTGAAATCCGGAAGCAAATAGTTCTTCAGAAGGCTAAAAAATTTCTTTAATCTTAAAACCAGAAATTTTGTATTAACTTTGAATTCTACTTGTAAAGGCCCTCTTAGTTACATTAAATGTAACAAGCAAGATAAATCTTACACTATCTATACTTTTATATAACTATTTATTTGGGTATTCAGTTTGAGTTCATTTTGTGTTATACTGAGTTGTTACCCTTTCACGCATAGGTTGGGTTCAATTTTATCAATTTTGGGTCGGGTTTAACTTTAGTTTAAACTTATGTCGAGTCAGGTTTTGAGCAGGTGTATGACGGGTTGGGTTCGGGTTATTTTTGGGTTATATTTGATTAATATCAAGTTAGATCAAGTTGGACCTAAATAATTACGCTTTTCATAATATGGCCAAACATCATTAAGAACACCTTCTACTTGTATACTTATTATACTCTATGAATTTATTCTCTTGCCTTCTACCTTCATTATCAATTTTGGAATGGTTGTAAATAAAGTATGAACTTATGTAATACTTGTGTATGATTTTAACAAATAAAGATCACAAAAGAAGAGTATGTCTAAGGAATACCAAGATTAGCCATGAGATCTAATTATGAAAAAATATCACTTATCCATGTCCACAAGATGAAAATACTAGTCCCAGGACTGGGGATAAAGTATCTAAGACGGGAAAGCAAGACGAATATTGGCAACTTGCTCTACCGGTCAGCTCAGAAAAAGAAAGTAAAAAAGAGGGCGGATCCAGCTATTGTGTTTCTGCTTTATTAGATTTCAGCAACTATCGTGAAGAAACTAGACATACAAATTCATACCTACAATCACGACTCATGAAGAGCTAGCTATTAAACCGGCACAACAAGATATGGTGCACCCGTTCACAAACCATAGTGGCGAAGGAAAGCTTGTAGCAAACTCTTTTGCAAAAAAAAAAAAAAAAAAAAGCAAGAGAGCTCAATTAAGGGAGATTGGTGGCATAACACATAACCACGTGAATGGTAAAAAAAAAAATTTAAAAAAAATTATTGATTTTTGTTTTAATAATAAAAAAAACATGGCCACCCTTTCCAGCAGACCCACCACATTAACCACCTCCCCTACCCAGCCCATCCACCGAAACTTCCTCCTCATTTGTTGATAAAATGAGCAAATGATCACGAGATGTACATACCAAATTCTATTGTTTGGGGGGTAAGGGGTACATTTTTATTATTATTATATTAATTGGAGGAGAGAGAATCTAACAGTTGAAAGAAATGAATTAAATATTGTTTAAACTTTTCAAATAAATGGAGTAAGTAATTTAATACAGTAAAAAATGTAAAGTGGAATAAGTAATTAAATTCGGAGGGAGTACTAAAATATTTACTAATGCATACTTTTAAATGTAATATCTTTTACTCCGTATTACATATATTAGCAAAAGTTAGAAAAAAATATTATTTAAAAAGTGGATTTTGATACGAATCTAATAAAGCGCGTATAACTAAGTTTTTTCTTAAAACTAATTTTGAATTCACAAAAATAAGTTACAATAAATTATGCAAAAAGTGGACAAAGTCAAAACGTGTCAATTAAAAAGAATTAGAGAAAGTATATATTATTAATTTAACAATGCAATTGTTGTCCTTCCTTGCATATGACATGACTCTTCTAACACCCAACTCACACAATACAACCTTTTACCAACCCAAAAAAATTAATAAAGTTGTTTACAATTTTAGGATAAGCCCAAAGATCTAAGAAGCAAAGCAGAAGAAGCCACAATGAGAGCAGAGAACAAAGTGGGAATGAAGACATCCAACGTAGACCTCTTCAACATGTGGGCAGGCAAGCATACTCTTTCACCTGGCATGTCTAGTGGGATCCTCACGTATCCATCGCCACCACACGACGGCGAGTAACGGGTTATTGCCTCCATGAAGGCTAGCTCCGGGGAGAATGATGCCACCACTACCGTTAAAATCAACATTGTTGTCCATATTCCAGCGTAATAGAGTGTTGGCCGTAGTGTTGCAAGTTGGCGATATGCTGATATGAAGACTAAGGCTAGAGACATTGTTTGATATATAGGTACTAATATATATTGTGGACACTAGTGTAAAGGTAAAAGTGTTAAAAATCGATCGATATAGGTTTTAATGACCTACAAGGAAATTAAATATTTAGTCTCGAGGGTGAGGTTAAAAATATAATAGATCGAGGTAAACCCCTTTGATGACTATGTTAGTGATTGAGTGAATGTGTTTGTTGGCTATGTAGGACAATAGGACATACATACTTCATGTCAATTTCCATATATGTGTGGTATATTACTCCCTCCGTATTTTAATAAGTATTACAGTTTAACCGGCATATATTTTTAGGCAATTTAATTGACTTAAATAAAAAAAAATATAAGTGGGGTAGTTGGAGTATTAAAAAGTTGTAAAAGAAATATAGTGAGGTTAATAGTTTATTGAAAAATAATGAATATGAGAGGAAGTATATAATAAAAAAAGTAGTAGTGGGTTTGGGTGAGGATCATGAGAGGAGAGATATATAATATTTAAAGGTAGTATTTTGCCAAAAAAAGGAAGTGTAACACTTATTAAAACACGGCCGGATTTGGTAAGTGTAACACTTATTAAAACACGAAGGGAGTACTAGTTTAATGACATACAATAATGTAGTATCAATGTGAATGACTAGTGGGTAGACATTCATGTTATGTCATAACCCTGGTTTCTTAATAGTTGTATCATTTTGACTTATACCTTTGAAACACTAACTTAAGTTATGTTTACAGACCAAGGTCCTATATACTTCACCTTAAAACAATAACATTTAATAAAAAATAATTTTATTTTAGTAAAAATAATTTCAATTCAACAAAAATAAGCTCAATTCAATAAAAAATAGTTAAATTAAAAAAATATGTGCCTCTTTTTTTTTTTTTTTTTTTTTTTTTACGGAAAATATATATATATATATATATATATATATATATATATATATATATATATATATATATATATATATATATATATATATATATATATATATATATATATATATATATATATGTACCTCCATTTAGAAATTATGCATTTTTTTGGCTTTCACATTAGCCAAACAAAACTTTGACCATAAATTTTAATTATCAATTATTGAAAATAAGAAGGTTGATATTTTGTAAATAAACACTTAGATATAATTAAACAAGTATGCCCCTACAATTCTTCTCATTAATTAATATAACTATGAACTTATAATAATTCTAGTTGATCACAAAACAACAAAATACAAAATTTAGCATTTAGTAAGTATAATTGTTTTCAATATACCCGTTACATACAGGATTTTGCCAATGATAAATATGCTAATAATCATAATCATATTATGATTTGGTAGGATCAAGAAATCCACTGCTTAGGAGTCTCTCCACATATTTTCCTAATATATCAACTTCTAAATTAACTTTTTGACCAACTTTTTTGAGTGGTATCACCACATTTTGTTGAGTGTAGGCAACTAACATGATGTTAAAGCATGCTTCTTTGTCTAACACATCAACCACTGTTAAACTTGTGCCATCGATTGCAATGAACCCTTTTGGTACGATGTACCTTAGTATCTCTGGGCTTGTTTTTATCTTCACCCATAAAGAATCACCTTCTTGATCAAGTGATACTATTTCTCCTGTCCCATCAACATGTCCCTAAATTAAATTGAAAATTTGGCGTTATTGCAATATACTTATTAATAATTGAAATTTGGAAGCAAATCACAAAATTATGTTTACCAAATTATATATTGTCTAGGTGTGTACTAGTTTGTATTATATATTTATAACCCATACTCCGTTCGATCAAGCTATATGGCATGAAAATGACTCGAGATTTAGGGTATGTTCTGATTTACTAAAAATAACTAAATTGAATTGAACTGATTGCAGCTGAACTGAACTGAATAGAGCTGAAATAAATTGTTTATGAGAGAAGAAAATTAAAAACTGGACTGAAATGAAATGAACTGAACTAATTGAAGCTAAACTGAACTGAATTAAGATGAAAAACATACCATTAAAAACAAATATGTTTCATTCAATTTAGAATTGAGAGAACTTAGCTTAAGTCCCATTGAATTCTAGACTTTTATATTTCATTGAGGCTATTGGGAAACGCAATAGCCTCAAATCCCAAAAAGAATCTTCCCTCATAATTCCAAGCTCCGTTCAACAAATATTGAATCACACGGAAAGTTTTGCACTTCTCAACGTATAACTCTGATTATTAATGTATTTAATCTTATCCTTAATATGTAAATATTATATATAGGCAAAAGCTCCGAGTGCGGAGCGTTGGATAAGCTAGCTAAAAGTAGAAAAATTAAATTAACATTAATTACTCCGATCGACACGTGATTTTGTCATACTTTCCCAAATTAATACCACTTTAAGTCATATTTTAACTGCTTATCCAACGTTTCGAAAACGTTCGTCAGCAAGATCCTATTATAAAAATTTGATATCTTAAAAGTATAAATTGAGACAAATTTGACAAAAAACGTATATGACTATTTTTCTTTACATAGCCAATAAATAGTCAAAGAGAATTTGTGAAATGGTATAAAAGTCAATATGGTGCAATTTCTGTAAAATGGAGCAAGGAGGTCACAAAGGATAAAAATAAAAGCTGCTATTGAAGAAAGAACTAACCTGAACAAAATGACCACCCATCCTTGTAGAAGGCAGAAGGGCTCGTTCCAAATTAACAATCGACCCGGGTTCGAGGTCCATCAACGTCGTCTTCCTAAGCGTCTCAGGCGCTAACCCAAGCGTAAATTCCGAAGCATTAGTATCAAATTCAGTCACAGTTAGACATGTACCATTAACTGCAATACTGTCACCAAGATTAACATCTTGTAGGACAATGTTTCCTTCAACTTGAAGGTGAAATCCACCATCTTCATCATAACCCATATGCTTAACATGGCCAAGCTCTTCAACAATGCCTGTGAACATGGAGTTTATTTGATTCCTTACGTATCGAAATCGTAAGAATTGGGGTTTTTGGGTGGTGTTAAAGAGTTTAGAGACTGAGGATTTGAGATTTGGATTGAATTTGATGTGCCTATTTGAAGGGTTGTTGAGGGTGCAAAATGTATGGTTTTGTTGTTGAGAGAGTTTTGGAGATATTAACAATAAAAGAGATGTTGTGATTGCCATATTTGGTTAAGTTAATGCTACAAAATTTAACCTTAGGTTTTTTTTTTTGAGGAAAAATTTTAACCTTAGGTTGGTTTAGAGAAGTACGTTGGAATGTATTGTAGACTAAGGAAGTTGACTTTTATGCAAATCGATCCATCATGTAGTGAGGAGAGTGGCATGATTTATCGCGCTCTCAATAAACAATCGTAAAAGCATGTTTCATGCGTCGCTTCCGTAATTCCGCATGTTCGGCCACTCTTTTGTGATGTATAGACTTTCGTCACCAAGTATATATGTAGGCCCCGTTTAGTTTAATGTAAAACATTTCACAAATTTTTGGGGTTGGTTACACTATTTTTTTTTTATACCACTAATCTTCTCTCTCCTCTTTTCTTAACTTGTTCTCCAAATCAAACCACACATTACCAACAACATATCTCTACTCCACCCATTTTCTCTCTCCTCTTTGCCAAATTGCTGCAATTAAAGCCCGAAATTGTAGAAATTGCGTGTCAGATTGCTGTGAAAAGTTGTGATTAATTAACCTTAAGATAATCAAACAACATTTGAAGTAGTGAAATTGATGAGAACCGGAGAAATGTGAGCTTGTTTTCTTCATGGAATCTTAAATCGAACATTTTTCGTCAAAAATTCAGCAACAGAAACAACAATAATAATATGAGTAGATTGTAGAATATTTGTAAGGTGCGACTGATTTGGTCAGGGGTTACTTGTAGGGTATTACTGGTTTGGTCAGGGATTACTTGTACGGTGTTACTGGTTTTGGTCAGGGGTTACTTGTATGGTGTTATTGGTTTGGTATGGGGCTTACAAGTAACCATTGAATAACTAACTTATACACGTAACCCCTGAATAAGTAACATATACAAGTAACCCTTAAATGAGTAACTCATACAAGTAACCCTTAAATAAGTAACTCATACAAGTAACCCTTGAATTAACCCATACAAGTAACCCCTAGATAAGTAATCCTTACAAGTAACTTTTGGAAAAAAAAAAATACAAGAAACCCCTGAAAAATACAACCCCTGAATAAGTAATCCATACAAGTAACCCCTGAAAAAAAAAATACAAGTAACCCCTGAAAAATACAAGTAACCCTAACAAAACCAATAATCCCGTTATGCGCGTCTGGGTCCGTTATTTTTGCTGATTTGGCAGCAGGCCACATGGTGTGGCCTGCTGCACCAAAAAGGATTTTCAATGGAAAATTAGTTTTCATTTGGAGTTAAACATATTTTCAAGAAAAAGCACAATTGCAAATTTATTTTCCTTTGTTTGGTTGCATTTAAGAAAAGTTCAAAAAAAAATAAAAAATAGGAGTGGGGTAAAGCCATAAGGATAAATGAGAGGGAAGTAAAAAAGGAGGTAAGGAGGAGAGAGGAAAGTGTGGCTCCCCTTGTTTTGTGAAGGAAAATGTTTTTCATCATTAAGGATGGAATTTTCCACCCTTGGAAAAATTGTTTTTCACCCCTTAACAAACCAAACAAAGGAAAATGGAAAAATCATTTTCCACGAAAAAATTTTACATCAAACCAAACGGGGTCATAGTGAAGGGGCCCAATTCACATAAGTTAAGTATCAATATCTTATAAGAGTGAACCCGATAGTTGTTACAAGGCCCACAATCATTATGGTTATCACTTATTTTATTAACTAGAAAATAGCTCATGTGCGAAGTACATATATAATAATAAAAAGAATTTATAATTGTGTACATTTCAAGTCATATTATCACCCAATATATATATGTAAAATCTTTGTATTAACATAAACCAAAGTACAAAATTAAAATAATATAGTAATAAACAAATTCACGTGTACAACAAAATTTAATAGACTTTGTAATTAGATGGAGTAATCACATAATATATACAGGATTAATATTTGTTTTCCTAAGATTAGTTATATGTACCTTAACGGTATAAAATTAATTTGCCGTTAATATTTAGCTTTTCAGAAAAATAAAATAAAATTGAAAGAGAAAAATAAAGTTGGGCGGGAAAAAATTGAAGGAGAAGTTGACACGTGTATAATTTGAGAAAAAAGAATGATAAAAACAAAAACCACAATAATAGAAAGTCTAGTGAGATGCGCCAAAATTGGTGTGACGCGCCAAACATCGTTGCGTGGCGCCAACCTGCCACATGGCACGCCAAATCTGGCGCATCGCATCAAGTCTGTCCACGTTGTGCCATTCTTTTTTGTTTCACTCTAGGGTTCCCCTAAATTCTATCCTTTTTTGACTTCAGCTCTATAAATACCGTAACCTTTAATTCGAGGGTTATGGACACCGTTTTCTACTCACTATCTCTATAATACTATTATTTCTTAATTTTCGGTTTGATTATATATTCTTTCACAATTTCTCCTCTAAGTATTCCTAGACATCAATATTTTCACTTGAAACTCTATCGGCGGTCCACGACTGATAAGTGTCATTTATGACACATTTTAGGGCGTTTTTCTCCTTTTGTTTTAGGTTTATTTTGGTCTTTCTCGTTATTTCTTGTCCATTTAGTCTCGTTTTAGTTAATAATGCTTTAGTTTATGTTTTTAGGCCTTAATTTGCAATTTTATGCATTTTTCTCGGTTTCTAGCTTGTTTCGCGTGCTTTTGTTTGTGATCTTTCACTATTTCTCTCGTGTTCTATTTTTTCTAGGTAATTGACATTTTCCTTGATATTTACGACCCGAGAGAAGGCCAGATCCTTCATGAGAAAAAGCGTTGAAGCAAAGAAATCTATGAAGCAAGCACGAGCATCATCAAGAAGCAAGCACGAGCATCACCAAGGAGCATCATGGCAGCAGCCCACGAGCATCCAAGGACCGAGCCCATAGCAGCAAGCAGCGCCACCGCGGGCACGGCCCACCCGTGGGCGCGACCCTTTTCCTCCCAGCCTCTCCAATTTTCAGTAGATGGCTGGGAGATGCCAGCCAGCGGGTGCGACTCTCCGGCCACTGCGGGCGCGACCCTTTCCCCGCGGACGCGGATCTCCGGCCACCGCGGGCGCGGCCCTTTCCCCGCGGGCGTGGCTCTCCGGCCACCGCGGGCGCGGCTTTCTGGGTTTTCTCGCGGTTTTGTTTCGTTTTTACTCGGTTTTTCGGGATGTATATATATTATACGACCTTCTTAAGACATCGGGGATCCATATTATTGAGTTTTTACATTTTCTCTCTCCTCTAAGGAGGATTAGGGTTAGATTAGGATTCTCTCTAGTTTAGGAGTAGTTTTAGAGAGAGAAAACTTGGATTTCCATGGGGTTTTTGAGAGATTGAAGAACCAACTATATGGAATCTCTTCTCATCTATTCAATGAGCATTTTGTTGGGGTTTGGTGAGTCTGACTCATCGCGGAAACAACCCCAACCCAAGGAACCACTCGTAATTAATAAAACCATAAAGCATAAATAAATAAACGCAAGAAAAAGGAAGAACGAATCATACCCTTGAAGCGAGCTTCGCCCTCTCAAAACGGGCTCTTACTTGAAAGCCTTGAGCACCGCAAATGTCGTGCCTCCAACGGTATCCACCCACAAAGGACAAACACGACTTTTTAGGTCCTCTACCTTGGAGTTAGCAAGGTCCGACCAAAACCCAAGTGTTAATGGAGTTTAAGAGTTTTTCCCAAAATATGGAATGCTCTTTCTAACTCCCACTCAAGCCCTTTACTCCAAATCCCAAGGTTGGTATTTATAGAGGAAAGTATGAGTGGGAATTTCTATCCCATCAATGTGGGATCATGAAATTCCACAAATTAATTTAAAGCTAAATTAAATTAAAATTGCAAACTAATAATAAATCTACAAGTGGCATTACCATGTGAAATGGGTTGGTGAGGACCACATGGAGAGTAGGGGACCATACTTGCTCCCCACTCAATACTCTCCTTGTGCCACATGTCCTTACCCACTTGCTCCCATATTCCTCAAGCTTCCCCATAGTGACCGGCCCAATGGCCCAGCCACAAGCCTAGCCCGAGCCCAGCCCCACACCAAGATGCGGGTTGCTGCTGTTGTGATTGTGCGTGGCTGCTAGTGCGTGCGGTGCTAGCACGCCTAGCTTGCGACAGCTAGCTGCTGCACGCACCACGTTCATCTTCCCATTCCTTAAAGTTCACCAAATTGAGCAAAAATGGTGACTTTTCGGGAAGTTCCGGGTACATAAGGTCGTTGTCATTAGTTGAAGACATGATTCTACAATTGAAAGAATTTTAATGAAAAAACCATTCAAAATTACTTAAATAAGATTGAATTTTATTCATGCAAATTTTCAATACTTATTTAGCGTCTTATTTACACGTAAAATTGTCCCTATTTTGTGAAAATAAGGCGATTCCAAGATCCGAAGAAATAAAGAGTGGTTAAGCATGCTTTGGCTTGTCTTAACACTCAATCTTCTAGGGTAAGCATTGCCTTGCTAATGGCTCTAGGCCACTCTTGGTTAGACAATCGTCGCATCTAATGCATCTTTGGCGATGTATCTCTTTTGCCACTGTATGTGAGGACTCCTCACTCATACCGATGAGTTAAACCAAAACCAACGTGCACAGCCGGTGTGCCTTATGAGCCTTGGAGAAGTGATGACACCTCTCTTTGGCGTAGCCTACCATCACCCTCATTTGGTTGGTAAGTGTTGTTTTGTAAAGGCAAGTTTGACTCAATATTATTAGGGACCTAGGATTTCTATGTTGGTTGATTTAAGTGAACTTAACTAATCATCGCAACATAAAGAAAACCTAAACATGCATCTAACGAATAATTCACATGTATATAAGCATAAAATATAAAGCGAAATTATAGATGCATATTGGCAACTAGCATGACCCCTTGAATTCTTCAAATCTTTAAAAGGTCTTCATTTGCAATTCAAGGCTTTGTCTTCCAAGATACGCCGTCTTCAAGACTTAACCAAACTATGCAAGTACTAGTGTCTACGACTAGGAATAATCTAAATATTAAGGTACAAAAATACTTAACGGTGCGTAGACCGTATTTAGATTTACAAAAATACATAACGGCACGTAGTTCGTATTTTCTATCCTAATCGAGTCCCTCTAGTTGCCATTTCATAAAACCTGTGAGAGAGAATATATATTCCATTCATCCATTCACTGGCCCATGCAATTTACAATATCAAACAAGTAAAATGCATTTAAACAACGCGCGCACTAGTAACTAATCTAGGTGGTTAATCCGATTAACACGCCTAATTAAAACTAGTCAAAGTTGTTTAACCGATTATGTAATTTGACGTCATTAATTAATTGAAGCTCCCACTAAATTCTGCATTTCCCTTAATTAATCTAATTAATTAAGTCGGTAGCACCCAAACTTGTCAAAATAAAATTTTGCCAATGCCGCTCAAAACCGAGGCCTAGCCTCCCAAAATTTTAATTAAAATAAACAAAATTAATTAAAATAAATAAAACGGCAAAATAAGCAATCTTAAGCCAACCGCATTTCAAGTGGCTTTCGCTTTAAGCGTTT